AAGCTTTATTTGCATCTAGAAAGGATTCACATTTATTTTGGGGGACTGGGGGGAGGGGGGCACTGGCCTTATGACCTCAAAGAATAGGTCAGGGATTCTTTTTCCCAGTTGGCACAAAGGGTCTTTTAGGGAGGTGGTGGGTTCTTTTTGGGGGGGGCTGTTTTAGACACACGTCCTATCTGAAAGCTTGCCTTACCTTATTTGCACTCTTTTTCACTAAGCAGCCACGAAGGCCTTGGAAAAGGTATTCAAATGCTGTGATGTGTCTATACCTACAAAGATCAGAATCATGCAAGCCATCATATTCCCTATGACACTTTAGGGAAGCGAAAGTTGGACTTTGAAGACGCAAGATAGGAAGAGCATTGACACTTTTGAACTTGGGTGTTGGAGAAGACTCCCGAGAACACTGTGGACAGCCAAAAAATCAAACAAATGGATCATTGAACAAATCAACCCAGAGTTCTCACCCGAGGCACAAATGACCAGGCTCAGATTATCCTATTTTGGACACATTATGCGAAGACCTAGATTTCTGGAGAAGGCTCTAATGCTGGGAAAGGTGGAAGGAAAGAGAAGAGGACAACCAGCAGCAAAGTGGATGAACTCAGTTAAAGTGGCAATGGGTGCGCCATTGGAAGATCTGAAGGCACAGATTAGGGACAGATCATCATGGAGAAAATCTATCTATGTGGTCACTAAGAGCCAACAATGATTTGATGGCACATAATCAATCAATCAATCAATCACTGAAAAGGGCAGGACATTTAAACAGATGTTTCTCCGCTTCAAGAGAATATGCAACTAAGACTCCAGTACAGCCATTCAAATGCATCTTAAAGCAAGCAATTATATACTCATATTCTCAGTCTCAACAGGAAAGAAAATGGATAGACCTTAAGATGTTGCTCAGCTACAAGGCCCAGTGGCCCCAGCCAGCATGGTGAACGGTGAATGATGCTGGCAGCATTTTCCAGAGCAATTTCCAAAGATCTTTTCACCAGAGCTGTTCCTTACATTACCTTTCCTAATACAAAATCAGTGCCCTCCCAAAGCTTAGACCCTAGAGCAGCTCACTTCCACATCTCAGCATCCTACATGGCAGAAAGAGTTTGGGTCTAAATTGCACACAATATTGGAATAACTGATGTGGTTGTCAGGCCTAGCCCAAAGAACTCCTGGAGACCATGCAGGTTCAATCAGCAAGGTTT